GCTGGTGCAGAGAGAATAACCTTCACATCAATGTAAAGAAGACAAAGGAGATGATTGTGGACTTCAGAAGGAACTGGCCTGGTGACCTGGCTGTCCCTGGGTAGGTCTGGGGTGGACGCGGGCGCGGGTTCTGGGGTGGTATCGCTCCTGGGCGGGGTTCCCGGCTTGGTCCGGGGATCTCGGGCCTTGACAGGTATGTTGCCGGGGTCTTGGGCCGGCGGGTGCGCCGGCGCCCGGCCCTGGCCTTGGGGCCTTCGGTGCATTGGTGGGCTTTGGGGCCTGTGCCGTGGGGGTGTAGGACTGTTGATGGGGTGGGGGGGGTCTGAGGGAGGGGACCGGCAGGCTCAACCTGGGCGTCTTCTTGCCTGGTGGTGGCCACAGCGTGGTGCTTGGCTGGGGGGCTGGGCTGTGGGGGGCTGTGACTGGGGTGGGGTATATTGGGGGCTCTCGTGTGGGGGGCTCTGTGCTGTGGGGCTGGGGGAGTCTGGGCTCGCTGGGTGTGTGCCCTCACTTGCATGGGGCGCTCTCGCTGTGGGTGTTGTTATGGGTGGACTGGTCTTTTGCTTTTTTGGGGTGGGGGGCGCTCTTGGTCGCTGTGGTGCTCTATCTCTGACTGTTTGGGCACTCCTGGCTGATTGTCCCTGTTGGGGTTTGGTGGCCTCTCTGGTTGGGGGGCTGGGTGTTGGGCTGGGAATCGGGTTGGGGCGTCTGGACGGTTTCGGGATGGGTCTGGGTTGCTGGCCCTGGTTCTGGTTGGTCCTCGAGGGCTGTGTGCCAGTCCGTGGCCTTGATCCCTGGTGGTGCGGCTGCCACCTCCTCCTAGGTATCTCTGTTAGAGCCTCTGTCCCCTTGTGGATCTTGGAGAGTGGGGGTGCCTATTGGGGTGAGTGGGGGAGCTGGTCCCCTGGGGGGGGCATTGCCACCTCAGTTCACCTCCCCATCCCAACGTCCTCCTCCGCCCACTCCACCACTCAAACAGGGTTTTGGGGTTCAGGTGCACTACTGAGCTACGGGGAGAATCATCCATCTCCGTGGCTGGTGGGGTCCTGGGCCCTAATTTTAATATACAACCTAGACACTCACTTATAACACTCTCACGACACATGCATATATAGGATCTGGAGTGGGCACATGATCGCACTTAGGTGGTGGGATGTACTTCCATTTCCACCTCCCCGGACCTGTGCCCACTCTCATATGTAGCATGTAGACATTTAGGGTTCTGGGCGGAGATGAGGGGTGAACGGGCGCCGCCTGCTCTCTGGGCAAGAGGTGGGTCTGTGCCGGTCGCCACCTCATCCCCCCATTTTAAACGCACTGTATAACAACATGCATCAACACCATATTCGAGTGGGAGGAGGAGGAAGTGGGTCTGTTCATAATTTATTTATGCATATATAGATTTATTTATTTATTTTATTTTTATTTTTTTCCCCTTTCACAAACACCTCCTTTCTCCGTGTGACACTAGGGGTCGGGGATGGGGGGGGGTGCATTGTTGGGGTCTGGGCTGTGGGTGGGCTTTGGGCCTTGGGGGCGGTCAGTGTTAGGGCCGGTGCTTCGGTTCCTCCTGGGCTGTTCCGATTCTTTTAATCTAGGTTCCTGGTTGCGATGGCCGGCACTTTGACCGGGGTGGCTGCCGGCTTTTGGTGGGGGGTCGGCTATGGTAGTGTACGTGTGGTCATTGGTGGTGTAGGGCGGCGGTTGGGGGCGTGGCTTCGCCTCATCCGGGCACTGGCTGGTCTTCCTGTGTGGCATTTGCAGTGGGGGTGCTGTGTGTGTGCGGGGGTGCATGGGTGGCGTGCTGGGGCGTCTCCGGGCCTATGGTGCGGGGCTCTTGATGTGAGAGCCGGCCCTCCTCAGCTGCGGCTCCCTGCTGCTCTGCCCCTTGGGCTGGGGCCGGCCTGTGGTCGCTGTCAGGTAGATGGTGCATGCGGTCGGCCCGACAGAGATTCTGTCGGGCTATCTGTGTGTGCCTGTTGGTTGCTCAGGTTGGGTTTTTGGTGGTCCCCCTCTCTTGGATCAATTTGGGCCCCACGTTTGGTGTGGGGCCCACTCCCCCCGGTCGTGCCCCCCTTTGGCGGGGGACCCCCTTGCCGCCGGTGCATTGGTGGCTCTCGGTGTCTGGGCTGGGTGGTGGGGTGCACGTCGGTCCGCCCTGGTTGCTGCCTGGCGGGGCCTGGGTGCCCTGGCTCTGTCGGGGCTCTGCTGGGGGGTGGTATGGCCTCGGGGCTTGGGGCTCGGTGTCCATGGCCGGATCTACTTGGGGGGGCATGGGTCGCTGGCCGGGCCTGTGGGCTCGTCGTTGCAGCTTCCTGGAGGCTCTGCATTGTGGTGGCTGGGGTCACCCGGTTCTTTCCTCTGCTCCTCTCTGGGGAGGATGCGGTTCTCCCTGTTGGGAGACTCTTGGGGCTCCAGGCCTGTGGGCCGCTGTGTGTCTGTGGCTCCGGTCCTCCCTATGTTGCCATTGTGTCCTGGGGGGGCGGGTCTGTGGGCCCCCGCGTCCACTATTGGGCATTCTTTTGGAGAAATCTGGTGGTGGCGGGCGTGCTTGCGTGGGTGTTTGGATTCAGGTGCTTTGACAGATGCACGCTAGGTTGGGTAGTGGTGGAAGCTAGATGATTCCTTGTGCGATGTCGAATGTTTCATGGTGATATTGTGGGTGGCATTGTGCTGTGCATGTTGTTTTGTCATGGTGGTCTCTCGTCTTATCTTCTTCTCTTTTATTATTTATTTATTCTTCTTTCTTCTCTTTCTTTTAAAAAAAAAATTGAGCGATGATAATAAGTTCATTGAAACACTTCACAATGTTTCTACACTTAAACTGAGCTCACAAAAAAAAAAAAAAAAATAGAAGGAACAAAAACACCTACACCCCCCTGAACATAAAAGGATCTGCGGTGGAAGTGGTCTCCAGCTACAAGTACTTGGGTGTACACATGAATGACAACCTCAGCTGGAGCAACAGCACCACCAGCCTGATCAAGAAAGCTCATCAAAGACTCTACTTCCTCAGACGGCTGAGGCGAGCTGGTCTGGGAAGCTCAGTCCTCACCTCCTTCTACAGGTGTGCAGTGGAGAGCATCCTGTGCTCGAGCATCAATGTGTGGCATGGAGGCTGCACAGCTGCAGAAAGAAAAGCTTTGCAGAGAGTGGTGAAGGCTGCACAGAAATCTGTTGGAATCAGCCTCCCCACCATCACAGACATCTACACCTCCAGATGCAGGAAGAGGGCCACCTGCATCATGAAGGACCCCACTCACCCAGCACACACACTTTTTGCCCCACTCCCCTCAGGAAGGAGGTTAAGGAGCATTAAGTGTAGAACCACTAGACTGAGGAACAGCTTCTACCCTGAGGCTGTTAGACTCGTGAATCTCTAACTAGAATAATCACTGTGAAAAACCATATCATGTTGCTTCTGATCTGTTTCATGTTGCTGCTGATCTGTTTCAATGTTGATGTGTTCATGCATGCACATCTGCTCACAGACTCATGTTCATGTTTGTGCTGATGTTCAATGTTTTATGTTATGAATGCTTAGTGTATATTTAGTTGATGTTTTTCTTAGTTCATATCTTAGATGTTATTACTGTTTTTCTTATACTTTTTATTGTTGGATGTAACTGGGACCCTGTGTACATAATTTCGCTCCACCACATGTACCACATGAGGTGCGAATGACAATAAAGAAACTCTGACTCTGACTCTGACTCTACTATGCCAGAAGTGAATACAATGCTATGGACACCTTTCACTACAACAAATAGTTCACCCACTATGCTACACTGTCCAACGCACTATAAAGGGGGACAAGTAGAATATTATCTACTGTTCCTGATGCATGCTCAATAATCCAGGTAGAAAAAGCCAAAAAAGTTCAATCTGGTCCTCTGGACATTCAAAAAGAAACAAAAAACAAAGCAAAAAAATGTAGAAACGTTTCGTCTCTCATCCGAAAGACTTCCTCAGTCTGAGGTACTATATTCAGCTCAGTCTCTTAAATAGCACCTTCTCAGAGTGTGAGAGTAGCACTGGCTGCAGCTC